CCCAATATCCCCTTGTAGACTGGAACTCTGCCAGCCTGCAAGGGGAAACCTGTCGTTTCCCACATTTTTCTCCTCAAAGAGAAGATTCTCATTTTTCTCCTTAAAATGAGAAAAAATCCTCTATTTTTTCCTGCGGAGAACAGAAAACCCGGATCCCTGATCAGTGTAGTGGAGACAGACATTCCAGTTGAAACCAGTTCAGTGAACAGGACAGGATGGCTTGGAACCTTATTCCTCTGTGCCTGGCTATTGGTGATGTACAGCCAATAGGAGGGTGGGGATAGTAGGGATTTTTACGGTCATACTTTTCCTTCTGATTCAAAGCACTTCACAAGTAATTCACATATTAATTCACATTATTTTCCACCACTTGGAGCTGTATCTTGAATGTAGAGCAGCAGCAGTTAGGGAGTGAAATAAAATGTAGGTTGTGTCATTTTTTGTGTCTCTTTCTGGAAAAAGTAAGAGCCATATACAAAGTAGATCAGGAGAATTATTTTTGGGCTTATTTTAAAAACCGCTTACATGGGAAAGTGAATTCCATGGAGTTTATGTAACTCAAAAACAATGAAGAACAGTGTAAACCCATACATTTTTTAAAAACTGCCAAAGCAGATCTGATTTGTGTAGCGATACTCACTTTAAGATCTTAATACAAAGTCAGATACCTCTTTGAACTTTGTAGCCCTTGTTTACTTTTTGTCGTCTTGCCTCAGTAGAATTGAGTCCTCTAGTAACTCTCCTTTATGTAAGATTGTAATGGACATAAACAAAATGTGTATGTCTTTAAAGGTACATTTTTGTTTCATATTTCAAATGCAGGTTCAACCCATGTTACAATTGACCTTGGTTATAATTTTCTATTTTAATTTAGTAGTGATTTCTTGATATTAATTCTTTTCATTTGTAAGATTTATTTCTCTTAGAATGTAAAAATTAAGTTAGCCCTAATAGTCTCTCTTAAAGAAGTGTTAAATATTTTAAATGATAATGTTAATGTTCCTATAGATACTGGAACTGCTCCATATTAAATATAACTGAACTGTAATTCTTTTTTTTTTTTGCGTTGTTTTTCTTATACATTTGGAACTGATGTACCACCACAAAAAACCTTTAGGCTATAATCTTGCAGGGAGAGAGTTCTAATGACAACCACAAGATCAAATACACAGTGGTGTTTTGTGTCTAAGGGAGTATCTTGGCATGTATGTGTATTTAATCTAGCTGCCCTTTTAAGTAGATCTGAAGATTATCACAAGAAGTTAAGAAAACTGTTTATTCGTTAAATGGAAAGTGTGCTTCTGTTCCCCAGCATGTCTGTTTTCCTGAAAAAATCAGTCTTAGATAAATGTTAAATATTACACTTTGTCCTTGATACAGTAGGAGCTCTCATGGATTTTTCCCTAGGGTCCTCTTCTTTTAACCTCTAATGGATCCTTTGGAAGACTGTGCAAGACCCTCTCTTCCTTAAAGCACTGTGCCTTTGCTGTACAGTCAGTATCTGCTAAACTATCAAATGAAGTCTAAACAGGGGCCCTTTATACATTTCTCTTCCAAATGCCGTCTTGCTTTCCCTAAACTGCTTAGTTTGCCAGTATATATCTAGTTGGGTTTTTTTACTGTTACGGAGAGCAGGAACTTCAGCATTGGAGATAGAAAAATAACACCACCAGTCAGTTTAATTAGCTGCCAAGTCTTATCACAGTGGCATTTTCTTGGGACTTATTTGCACGACTTTGTTCATTACGTCATGTATTTAATTGTCTTCTCACAGTGGCCCCTTGCGATCAACGTTCTTGATGGTGTTGTGTATCTAATTGTCTCCTCGCTATAGCCTCCTCTTGGGATTCGTTTGCACAGCTCTCTTGATGTCTCGTCAAGTCCAATTGCCTTCTTCATGTAGCTTGGTCCTCAGGGCTTAGTCTGTCCATCTGCATCTGTCTGTGAGTCTCTCTGTCTGTAATGCTCTTTAAGGGTGCCGGGGAGGGCCAGCTGAGGAGAAACGGGAGCCAATCTCCTGGCTACTGTGAGGCTACTTCCTTGATGGCATTGTGCATCTAACTGTCTTCTCACAGTAGCCAGGAGGTCAGCTCCTGCTTTTCCTCAGCTGGTCCCTCCCTCTGCCCTCCCTGTTGGTGTCCTGGCACCCTTAAAGAGCATTACGGACAGACGGATTAAGTCTGCCTGCCTGCCTCTCCCTCTCCCTCGTCAAGGATGGGGGGGGTGGGGACAGAACTGCCTGCCCCCCCTCCCTCTCGAGGCCCACTCTCCCTTTCCCTGCCTCAGCAGCGGGTGGAGCGGGCCAGGGCCCGAGGTTAGGGAGAAGCTGGGCCACCACGGAGGGGAGGGGAGGAGTGGGCCCAGGCCCAAGGGAGGAAGGAGGCTCACTCTTCCCCTCCCCCAGCTGCTGTTGTGTTGGGCCAGGCCCGCTGCTTCTCCCACCACCACTGCAGCAGCCTGACTGCCTCCCCACTTGGGCACACTCTTCCCCTCCCCCCACTGCTGCCGCCATGGTG